ACACTCACTTGGCAGGACAGTAGTACCCCCCTGGGTGGCTGCTGTCTACCAACCTACTACCTTCGAAACTATATTTATCATCACCAAAATTTACTAATAATGACTCTCCCATTCTTGTATTTCTTATCCACTCCTTCGAAACACTTTTAACCTCTCTCCTCTTCTCCATATATTCCCCCTTTCTTACCATGTATCAGTTTTACACAATCAGAAACCTTTGATATGCTAACTTTTTTCTCCCACCCATTTTTTTTACCATGTCATTCTAGCAATCATTCCTCCTCTGTCTTGCACCCATCTTCCTATAACCACAAACATCTGCTGCAAACTTCAGCCTTGCATTATTAAATCTGTTCAGTACTACTTAAACCTCATCACTTTTACTGTAACCAAGAGTTACTCATACCTATAATTTGTCACCTGAGCAGTTACTTTATTGTGTATCCCATGTTCATCCTGTGTGTAGTACCCAGTAACACACGAATCTACTTACAGATGTCATAATGGGGTTTTGTCAGATCCCACTGGGCATAGTTGCTTACCTCTTAAAGAAAATACAGCTATTTAATATATTACAGTTATATTACATAACTACATGGAAGCTACCTAATGTGATACGTGGATACAATCTCCAGAAAAATTCATGTATCTTACGATTACCTCTGCAGACATTGGTAATTTACAGTCTCTTCAAATAGTTTATTCATCTAGCCAGTACAAAATGTGAATACACCTTCAAGATTTCAGATAGCTTATCATTAACAAGGAAGTAGTTTGCCATCTACAGGGGGTCTGCTTTTTCATTAACCATCTTCTTTATACATTGACTTTCAATTATCCTTTACCCACTGACACTATTTTTGTATCCCACTAAATAATGATTGGACATATCATTCACTCCCATTTATCCACTAATACATAGCAGACTTTTCTTATGCTTTTTATCATACATCATATACATATTTATTTTCTTGGAAATATGTATTCCTATTATAAAACCTCTTGCAAGACAACTCACTCATAGGCCACCCATTTACTTTGCTATTACAGTATTTCCTACTATACTTTCTCTGACAATGATTATTTTCTCATTTGACTCAAAGTTCCCAAAACATTTACTTAATACCTCCCAAAATTCTCTCTTCTACACCATCTCTTGCTTCCATGCATAAACACTTATTACACATGTGCTTCTTTCCATAATTGTTCATTCACTGCACCATAATTGCAATGCCTTATTTGTGGCCCTGACAAGTTCAAGATATTTCATCATCAAAGATTTATTCATTGCCTTGGATGCTAAGTTACTTTATTTTTAGGTTAGCTTTAAATAAGTTAATGAGAACAAGCACAGCCTTGGTGCTATAATGCAATTACCTATTTGTAACTACAGGAGTGAAGTTCTTATTGCCCCATCTTTCGCAATTAGGTTACCATAATTTTTTTTTTTTTTTAAATTTCACAGATTGTAGCACTTACTACTTCTTTTTAAAAGTCTTTCCATTAAAGAACAAAAAGGCATTGTTCTATAACTCTGCAAAGAAAAACTTTCTAGTATGCTTTTTGAAGCTCTTCTTTCTTAGTTTATACAGCAGTTATGGTCTCTTGTTACACAGAATGACTCTGATGTTCGAGAACCGGGATGGAGGAGCTGAGCGAATGCTGGCCTGTTGTCGGGACTGCCAGAGTCGAGTTCCCTAAAAGGTGACTCCAGTGGGCAATTGCTTTGTGAATGGTTTTTAATTCTTTCCAGTTCACATGGAAAGGAAGTTGATGAGGCCACCATTTCCAAGTTGATGAGGCATCTGCCATCAGAACATATGTGGGATATAAATTCATTGGAAATGATTCCTGAATCACCCACAAAAGTAGAGCTCTGCAGAATAGAAATTGGTAGAGGAATTTTCCTGTCCCTATGGAGAGCTGAAGAACTCTGATTCATTGTTGTCACTACTTCAGACCGAATTTATTTCATCTTCCAATGGGTCATGTGTGAAGTAGAGTGAAATTCTTGAATCTGACCTAATTCATAATTGCTTTGATGGAATTGAGAGATGACAGCTGGTTGTCATCCCTGTCCTGGGGAGAGATGAGGGGTACTGAGATTATATGCAAGGAAAGTTGCAGGAATCCCCACATTGTAGTTGAAAGTGAAGGGTTGTAACTCTTCTGCAATCCCTAAAATTGTGCTTGTATAACTCGTGAACTCAAAGGCCAGGAAGTCACTGTCACACATGTAGGAATGTCCCTGAGGTGAGCTCCCTGTATCAGCTGGGAGCACATGGAATAGTGACCTTTTTCAAAGATGGCGAGAGAAGCTAATGGCTAATTCTCAGTTGGTCCTAAAATATCACTAATAATATCTGAAGAAAATCACACTGGTCCTAGCTAAAGAGTGCCACTAGTACATTGGCAAATAAGGTGTGAGATATGCTTGCTCTGCTTCCAAAACAGGACTTGTGGACAAACCATGCTATGCTTTTAAATAAAATGTCTTATTTCTATTCACCAGGCTAGGGATTTAATAAAACATGGTGTGAAATTCATCAATCTTTACTGAATAAAAACATACTGTACAAATATATTTAGTCTACCTGATACATCTATCACTCCATTTAACTATTGTAAAATCTAACATTGGACTATTCACAGAAAACAGGTCACATAAAAATCTTTGGATTTGCACAAGTATCAAGGTGTGCACCCCTTTTCCTTGGATCAAACCTGAATGCCTCCCATTTCCCAGGTGCTGTATGATCCTTACAGGATGAGCACCCCCCTCTTAACTATAATAATAATAAAGGTGTGCAACTTGCTAGCACACGACCCAACAGCCATGCAGTGCATGTGTGCAGATACCATCTAGTCAGAGTACAAAATAAAGTTTGTAGATGAATGGTTCAGAGAACCGACATGTTGATAAATTAGACACATGTGCAACTCTTGGGTATCTTTATTGAGGAAACGTTTCGCCACACAGTGGCTTCATCAGTCCATACTAGGAGAAACTTGAAGAACAGGAGGAGAATGAGGTAATCAGTCCCTCAACCTTGAGTCGATGTGTTCAGTCCATCAATCTTGAATGGAATACGGCATATGAGCTGAGAAGCAGCTTATAAACCGTATGGCAGGAGAGGTGCAGCAGTCGTAGGTGGTGTCACATTTGTTCAATGTGGAAGTAGGTCGTGCCCAAGAATTAGGCAAGCGAAGAATTCCTAAGTATTAAGATCCCAAGAAGTTGCAGTGTCTGACAAGTTTGTAGATGAATGGTTCAGAGAACCGACATGCAACTTCTTGGGATCTTAATACTTAGGAATTCTTCGCTTGCCTAATTCTTGGGCACGACCTACTTCCACAATGAACAAATGTGACACCACCTATGACTGCTGCACCTATCCTGCCATACGGTTTATATGCCGTATTCCATTCAAGGTTGAGGGACTGATTACCTCATTCTCCTCCTGTTCTTCAAGTTTCTCCTACGTATGGACTGATGAAGCCACTGTGTGGCAAAACGTTTCCTCAAAGATACCCAAGAGTTGCACATGTGTCTAATTTATCAACATGTCGGTTCTCTGAACCATTCATCTACAAACTTGTCAGACACTGCAACTTCTTGGGATCTTAATACTTAGGAATTCTTCGCTTGCCTAATTCTTGGGCACGACCTACTTCCACATTGAACAAATGTGACACCACCTATGACTGCTGCACCTCTCCTGCCATATGGTTTATAAGCTGCTTCTCAGCTCATATGCCGTATTCCATTCAAGATTGATGGACTGAACACATCGACTCAAGGTTGAGGGACTGATTACCTCATTCTCCTCCTCTTCTTCAAGTTTCTCCTACGTATGGACTGATGAAGCCACTGTGTGGCGAAACATTTCCTCAATAAAGATACCCAAGAGTTGCACATGTGTCTAATTTATCAACAAAATAAAGTAAACACCTAAAAGGCACTCCAGAGACAAAGGCCATTCAATCCAGCATAAACCGAGTCCACAAATCTTGGCAAATACTAAATTCACTCATTACTTCGTATGCAGGAGTAAATATCATTCTTAGACTGAGTCTGTGCCAGACAATGCTAAATAAGAGTCCAAGACATTAAACATCAGTAAAGGTTAACACTACCTGAGCGAGTCAGTGTCAAGACACATCATTACTCCATTTAAGCACACAATTTGTCCACACAGGACAGATGCATCAAAAGACCCAGAACTTCCAACCCACTCCACAGAGACTATGCCCTGAAAGCAGACACAGTAAATTCATGCATGATCTAATGCTGACACCTTTCTTGAAAACTGTCAAACATGACATGGTGCTAGTACTGACACCTTTCTCTAAATCTGTCAGACATGACGTGGTGCAATATGTGTTTATGGAAGTGGAATTATTTTATTGATACTCTGGACAAAGTTCAGAGTGATGACACTTCCTCTTGGAGGCTATGTTCCACATTACAGTTAAAATGACTTAGAGTCCATCCAGCAGACAGGCTACAGACACAAGACAATCCTCAGAAATTTAGTCCCAAAAATGACAACACGTAAGGTGCTTGGATGCGAGGCTATGTTATGAAGACAGAGCAACCACTCGTGTTCTAACCCGTTGGCAACAAAACACCATTTGACTTCTCTTCATTAGGCAAATAACAGTATTGTAGTGTAAGGCAATGCCAGTCACTTTTTACCATGTTCAATGTCACAAATAAACCAATCATAAAATAGGAAAATGGTATATAATGAGAAAAATATGGGTTATTACAACAGATTGTCTAGGCATTGTCTTGGCTAAAAACAGTGACGGGTATCTTTTCTAAATGGCCACCCATATCTAACTCCTCTGCTCTCTGATTTATATCTTTCTTCCTGCCACACCTAATTGCTTCAATTTGAAGAATTTGTTTGTTATAAATACTTTTCATTTAGTTACTGCAGTGTGTTATGATTAAAGGTATATTTATTTAATAATACATTCTCTTTTTCCCACAGATACGAAAGTCCTGAGAATATGACAATCACTTGTTCCACAAAAGTGTGTTCATTTGGCAAACAAGTTGTAGAAAAAGTTGAAACAGAATATGCTCGGTTTGAGAATGGCCGATTTGTGTATCGCATCCACCGCTCGCCCATGTGTGAATATATGATAAACTTTATTCATAAACTTAAACACTTACCAGAGAAATACATGATGAATAGTGTGCTGGAGAACTTCACCATTTTACAGGTATGATATATATATACTTGGCTGTTGTAACCACAAGTTGGCCTGTATTCAGTAGAAACCACCACTTATTTTTTTCCTGTTGATATTGACATATTGATTATTACATGAAGCTCAATGTCATTTATTTAACATATCATTAATCATATTTTAAGTAGATAACAAGCAGAAGTCATCTAAATTAATTTTACTCCCTTCACAGGTAGTAACAAACCGGGACACTTTAGAAACACTATTGTGTGTGGCATATGTGTTTGAAGTATCTACGTCAGAGCATGGTGCGCAACATCACATTTACCGTCTAGTTAAAGACTAACAGTACGCCCCAGGACAGCTCATCTTTGCGTCATATCAGACGCTGAGCTGGCTTTTTGTGTAGCACTATGCTCCACAATGCAGGAAATGCCTTGCAAAGGATTACAGCTGTGCGCCTGTGTAACTCATCTGTTGCCTACAAGTGCTTGGTTACATTAAAAAATTCATCTTGGTCCTAGGCATCAGTCAAAAAGGAAGCTCACACTCCCAAGGTTGTACTGCAAGGTTTGGCAGCTTACCCCATACCAGTTAAAGTGTCCTATACAGAGATGTCCCAGCATATTGTGGCAGCTGTTCACCAGGCCAGTGGCAAAATTGACAGACAGCTACGAAGTCGAGTCAAGGACCACCATTAAAGGCACTTATGATAATGAAACTATGATACTCAAATACTGCAGATATTGCTTGCATGTGTTTTCTGCAATGTAACAGCATTAGTAGTTCAGTATTGGTTACTGGTGTATCATACAGAGATTTTGTGATCTGATATTCAGATATACAGCTCTGGATGTGCATAGCACTACTTTAAAAGGCATATGATACATTATATAGATACTTATATGAATCATTGAACTTTATTGAATATGATACAAGTGGTATTGATGGTTGCATAATAAAATGTACAGATATATATATACTTATAAGGGTGGCAGATAGTGTGTGTGTGGGGAGGAGTGAGTGTGATCTGCTCTGTGCCTCGTTGACAAACCATATACTGTATAGTGTGCTGGCTGCTGCCCATCCAGTTCATCAACATGCAAATACATTGTAATGCCTACTGTACTTAAAAACACACCTGCATTATCAAATCACGCAATGCATATTGTGACTATCCAAATGTGAACAAAGTGATTAAATATTTTTGTAATTTATACTCGGAGAAAATGAAATCTGTTTGCAAGTCCATGGTGAGGCAACATTATGACAGTGTCTTTCACATCTTAATATTGTATTATATATTACACTGTTTCTCTCCACTTTGTACAAACTATCATTGAAGGCTGTTACTGCCCAAATAAGCAGCTTCTAACGATTGTTCTACACATATCGCTTTACTTTTTCCCCCCAATCCTCTGTAGTTTAGGAATGTCAGTGTTTAAGAACTGTTGGATAGTCTAGATATCGATGGGGCAGGAAGGTCGCATGTTGTTTGCACACACCCTTAACCTTTAAATATGCAACATGCGTCCCTCTAGAGCCACCTGTATACCGGTAGATCATTATTATTATTATTATTATAATTATTATTTCTCTTTGCAAGTTGTGATGTTGTTAGGGAATTTTTTGTGATCTCAGATGTTCTTATCCAAAGGCTTTAAAAGTCAGGAGGTGAAGTTTATGAATGGGAATAATTGTGTTGCAATTCACTGCGTTGCTGTTTTAGTGCCAAGACATGTATGTGGATACACTGAAGAACTTGTTTTGTGCAACATAACCATCATCAGTATGTTGTTATAGTCTTATTCTTTTATACAAATAAGTAAAGATTGCCATATTAAATGATAATTTGTGCTAATTCGTATCAGAGGCTTTTCTCATTTTGCACTCATTTGTGAGATATGGTCGCAAGCACACAAAGTGCCTTCATTGTTTAGCCATTCTATTCCTTGCAATCTGAGGAACAGTAAAATTAGAGTATAGTATATCTATTTGAAAACATGAAGAAAAATTATGTAGAATGTACAGTTTAAGTTATGACAGAATTTTTGCCCCATGGCCTATTGTTTCCAATTGTATAATGGCTTCTCCATAAGATGTATATCCTCAGAATGACAAGGAAAGGCAGCTTGACTATCCAGGCAACTACCTCTCCTGTCCGTCAAAACCCAATCAGACACAACACGTTTCCACACTATCCTGTGAGAGTGCGAAGCCTAATGACGCATTATCTTGGGATGGCCAACATCTTTGGCAAGTTTTTTTTTTTTTTTTTTTTTTTAATTCTTCACTACTGACTTCATGTATCAAAACTAAAGGTGCTGTTTTTGATCACAATGTATGTGAATTCTCCATTATGTTTTAGTTTGCCATCATTATCAAGTTTTAATATAAACTTAAAAACATCCAGTATAGAGTGGGGAATTAAGCTCCTTATTCTGACATTACTGTAAGATGACCAACCCACCTTTAGAGTAGATAATCCAAGGCCAGGTCTTAAAGTATTATGAAGTTTTCAAAGTCCAGATTCTGACTGACTGCTTGTTGTCAGCTGTAAACGTACGAGACGTATGGAAAGTTTAGCAGGTGAAGAGTAGTCTAGTTAAGATTCTCAAAACTTCCATAATACTTTAAAACAGAGGTTCTAATGTGGCATTTTGTGGCATGCTGAGGCTTAAGCCAGAAACAACTCAGTATTAATGATGTGGTTTTGAAGTATAGAATACAGGATCGCATTTTTTCATATGTAGTCATTTTTTCTGTGAAGGAAATAAATTCTCAGTCCTTTTTAAAGGATCACCAATGTAAACTTCTGCTATAGGTAAATTCCGTTGTCAGGATGATGCAAGTGACATTTTCTTCTGTTTTTACATCACAGTTTTCCTTGGTTTTAATTCATGTGTTTGAAAGCTTATGTGTAGACAGAGATATTAATGTTACAGATACCATCCCTTAATGTTAGTGAGCAGTTGTTCAAATAACATGACAAAAGAGCCTCATGATTACTGTGATAAAGGAACATAGTGGATATAATATCCACCAAATGAAAAATTGCTGTTATTACATGCCACGGAGAGGTTATTGTATTTTAAATGCATTACATATATAGTTTGTTAATAATGTAACCAAGGATGCAAACAGAAAAAAAACTTTCATTACTTATTTAAATCAAGCACATCAAATTTCTTCCCATAAAGCAAAGGCCTTCAATCACCAATCACGACTGTAGAACTGACATGTCTCTGTTCAGTTCTTAGGGACGGAGTTTTAGGCAATGACGTAACTGAGTTGAGTCTGAGTTCCAGATATAAAAAAAAGTTTATATTTTAGTAAAACATTATAATGATATATTGACTTAGAACTGTCATAGACTATGTTATGCAAAATATTATTTGATGAAAGAGTTTAGGTTTTATTAGATAAATCCCTAAAGAGTACATATTTTAATTCACACTTTACTCAGACTGAAAGCAGTTAAGACTTTGTCTAAAGTTTGTCACTGAATATGACTTTGTTATAAACTGTGTTTCTTGACCATTTATAAGTTGACAGAATTATTGGCTGAAACAGTGTTTGCCCAACTGAATGTGGTAGACTGGATGAAATACCATTTTGTACAGTTGTATAAAATAGACATTTTTACGTGATTTTTTCCTTTTCCTTACCCAAATTGTTTCTTAAAGTTAGTTTGCCTATTTCACTCATTCCCGTCCATCTGAGGCAAACTCTTCCTTTATCCACTTCAAGAACATGTTATTGCTGCACCCATATATTTGATCTACAAGCTATAGATTAGATGAAAGAAAAAAGATGGGTGGTGTGTCGAGTCTGTGGAAAGAAAAGTTTATGGAGGAGGGGATGATGTTAACTTTGGGAACAGTTGCACAGCTGGGGTAAAAGAGGTCGAGCATCCAGCAGGCTTGTGTGATCATGTTTGATAGAAGTGAATGGAGGCAAGTGTTTTTTAAATGGACATGCTGTTAAGTGTGTAAGCAAAGTAAGATTTATGAAGGGATTAGGGGAAAATTAGGTAGCTGGACATTAGTCCAGGTGGTGGTTAGGGCAGTGCCTATACTCTGAAGGAGGAAGGGGGTTTGCAGCTGGAGGGTAATCTGAATTGTTTTCAGCACACTTCTGGAAAGTCATTGAATAAATGATGATGAATGTGCCTTCTTTAGGTCACCCTGCTTAGGTGTGAATGTTTTTCTTAGTATACAACATTCACTACATTCAGTTTACACAAGTTGCCTAATTTTACTCCTAGGTGGGCAAGGGTGTAAAAGAAACTTCCCTATTTATTTCTCTATACCAGAGAATGAAACCCAGGACCTTGTAATTGTAAATCAAATGCTCTTCCCTGTGAGCTAAATGGCACCCATTGATTAAAATTGTTCAAGTCTTTAAGGAGAGAGGAACTTGATACTGTACTAGTGAAGGGCTTCTGATCCAAGAAATCAGAGATACCCTCCCTTTTGTCAGGTCAAACCTGATTACCTCCCATTTCCCAAGCACTGCATGATTATGGATTTAGTTATTCCATGAATATAATACATGCTGAAGGCAAAAATAATAAGCATAGGCAATTTTAAGCACACAATGATGGCTAAGATGTAAAAAAAGACTGGTGATAGTCCAAACAGAAAACTACCCATAAAGTTGCAAATGGCTCTTAATCAGTGATGACAAAAAATTATCCTAATATGATTACAGGAAATTTTTTCTTATCTGTGATGATAGGAAAATGGTTCTAATCAGTGATGACAGGAAAATGGCTCTTTTCAATTGTAACAGGAAAATGGCTCTAATCAGAAGGTAAAAAAAAAAAAAGCCTCTTATCACAAGATTACATTAAGAAAATATCTATATAAACAGTGATGATGAGATATTATAATAAAGACTGGTAGCCTAAACAACCAGTGACTGAACTAGTGATAAATTGCCTGTTGTATCAACTGTAGCTTCAATTTTACACCCAAGGTAATCCTTGCCTCTTGCACACCCCAACCCTTCCACACCCCTACCCACAGTGCTGTATAATATGGAGATGGGTGACATTTAGCTCTGCATGCAGAAAGGCCATAGTTATGCAACATTTTGGGCAAGTTTAAGCAGTAATATTTGTTGATCTAGAAGTGTGTGTTGGGGCATACAGATGTCATAGGCACATTAAAAATACAGTACTGTATGTGGACTTACCCAGGATAATCCAATAAAGCTAGTTTGACTACATGTAGATAAAAAGGTTAAATGAAGTAATTTTTCCTACCTTAAATTATGATGTGGACAGTCAAACAAGAATATATGTAACTGAAAATATTATGTAAACTAATTTATCTTACTCTACCTTAAATTCTGGTTGTTGAAACACACTGACTTTGACATCAGCAGATGTCAAAGTCAGTGAGGAAGATGCTTGTAATTGGTGGGCACAGGTGTGTGGCTAGAAATGGTGGGGTACGGTGGATGGTTGTGGGTTGTGGACTGGGGCTGATCCAGCAGTTATACCATAGATGTTGTACTTGGTGCCTAAAGACACTACTTTCACATGTTTGTCTACATCCTGCAAGAGTTGAGGATAGCTGCAGAAATTATCATGAGTGAGAACCTCAAATGAAAGGAGTTTTTCTGACCAGGTACATATTAACCGAGGGAATAAAATAATGCTTGGACTATTCACTAAACAAAGCTTCACTCATCATCATTTGTTTGATCTTGCATGCTCATCAGCTGAAACAAGCACTAAACAATTATGGCAGTCATATTTTAATAAGGAAATACTTTTTTTTTTTTTTTTCCAATAAGTCGGCCGTCTCCCACCGAGGCAGGGTGACCCAAAAAAAAAAGAAAGAAAATACTTTCATCATCATTCAACACTTTCACCACACTCACACATTATCACTGTTTTTGCAGAGGTGGTCAGAATACAACAGTTTAGAAGCATATATGTATAAAGATACACAACATATCCCTCCAAACTGCCAATATCCCAAACCCCTCCTTTAAAGCGCAGGCATTGTACTTCCCATTTCCAGGACTCAAGTCCGATTATATGAAAATAACCGGTTTCCCTGAATCCCTTCACTAAATATTACCCTGCTCACACTCCAACAGATCGTCAGGTCCCAAGTACCATTCGTCTCCATTCACTCCTATCTAACATGCTCACGCACGCTTGCTGGAAGTCCAAGCCCCTCGCCCACAAAACCTCCTTTACCCCCTCTCTCCAACCCTTTCGAGGATGACCCCTACCCCGCCTTCCTTCCCCTATAGATTTATATGCTTTCCATGTCATTCTACTTTGATCCATTCTCTCTAAATGACCAAACCACCTCAACAACCCCTCTTCTGCCCTCTGACTAATACTTTTATTAACTCCACATCTTCTCTAATTTCCACACTCCGAATTTTCTGCATAATATTTACACCACACATTGCCCTTAGACAGGACATCTCCACTGCCTCCAACCGTCTCCTCGCTGCTGCATTCACTGCCCAAGCTTCACATCCATATAAGAGTGTTGGTACTACTATACTTCCATACATTCCCTTCTTTGCCTCCATAGATAACGTTTTTTGACTCCACATATACCTCAACGCACCACTCACCTTTTTTCCCTCATCAATTCTATGATTAACCTCATCCTTCATAAATCCATCCGCCGACACGTCAACTCCCAAGTATCTGAAAACATTCACTCCTTCCATACTCCTCCTCCCCAATTTGATATCCAATTTTTCTTTATCTAAATCATTTGATACCCTCATCACCTTACTCTTTTCTATGTTCACTTTCAACTTTCTACCTTTACACACACTCCCAAACTCATCCACTAACCTTTGCAATTTTTCTTTAGAATCTCCCATAAGCACAGTATCATCAGCAAAAAGTAACTGTGTCAATTCCCATTTTGAATTTGATTCCCCATAATTTAATCCCACCCCTCTCCCGAACACCCTAGCATTTACTTCTTTTACAACCCCATCTATAAATATATTGAACAACCATGGTGACATTACACATTCCTGTCTAAGACCTACTTTTACCGGGAAGTAATCTCCCTCTCTAATACACACCCTAACCTGAGCCTCACTATCCTCATAAAAACTCTTTACAGCATTTAGTAACTTACCACCTATTCCATATACTTGCAACATCTGCCACATTGCTCCCCTATCCACTCTATCATATGCCTTTTCTAAATCCATAAATGCAATAAAAACTTCCCTACCTTTATCTAAATACTGTTCACATATATGCTTCAATGTAAACACTTGATCTACACATCCCCTACCCACTCTGAAACCTCCTTGCTTATCCGCAATCCTACATTCTGTCTTACCTCTAATTCTTTCAATTAAGGAAATACACTACCATAAAATTACATTCATAGGGAGGTGTTGAACCCATAAAAGTTATAAGCATATAGAGATTGGTAGGCAATCAGGTTCTAAAAAGTGAGAAGGTTACCAATTCTTCAGATCAAGAGCCCTTCAGCAACGAGGCATGGGAAAGCAGAGCAAATAAAAATATACATACTAAAAAACCAAGATAAAATGCATGATAAGTGATGCGTGAGAAAGAATAAAAAGGGTGTGAGAGTTAGTTACTCATGGGAACCTGCTCAGATGGTAAAGATGTGGCAGGGAGGGAAAGAACTGGCTGTTGCAGCAACAAATAATCAATATTAGTGGCTACAATTGTAGCACCAGCAGGAGAATCTTAAAAACCAATAGCTGCAACAACAGTAGAATTAACATCAACACAAACAGCAATACCAGTAGTAGCATCAACCCCTGCAGCTACAACATCAGCAGTCTACATCAATAGGGACATCAACACTTGTAGCTATAGCACCAGCAGGAGCATCAACGGAAGCACCTATGATACCAGCTGGAACATCAACACCAGTTGCTTCGACATTAGCAGCTACAGTACCAAAGAACATCAACGCCAGCAGCTTCTCCATAATACTAATAATAATATTCTTATTATTCTTATGGAGAAGATGCTGGTGTTGATGTTCTTTAGTACTGTAGCTGCTAGTGTTATAGCAGCTGGTGTTGTAGCGGTTGCTGCTGTTCCTGCTGGTGCTACAGCTACTACTGTTGATGCTCCTACTGATGTAGACTGCTGGTGTTGTAGCTGCAGGGGAAGTGGAACAGAATGCTTCCTCCATGAGCCATGCGTGTTTACGAGGTGACTAAAATGCCAGAAGCAAGGGGCTAGTAATCCCTTCTTCTGTATATATTACTAAATTTAAAAAGAGAAACTTTCGTTTTTTTTCTTTTGGGCCACCTTGCCTTGGTGGGATACATCTGGTTTGCTGAAATAATAATAATAATAATAAAGATAATCTAAAGGGTGGACCTACTGATGGAGTTCTTACTGGAGGGGACACATTTGGATGTATTGATAGGCCTTCCCTGAAGCAGCTGTCATTGCAAGATGAACCATTTAGAGATGGTAACCATGGAAATGGAGCAGCCAGGTTTAATGCCAGATACTGATGCATGACCCAGCTTGCCTATTGTGGAAATTTGAAGGTTTTTATAAGAAGGAAGTCAGGGCATCTATTTGAAAAAGGCAAAATATGAAATATTTATCACATGTTGGTAGACAGCAACCACCCAGGGAAGTACTACTGTC